AATGTCTTACGGGAATCAACACGAACAAATACAAATAGATGTTTGCTAATTTTTTCTTTCAAGAAAATTGGTCAAGGCGCAACAGGCTTAACGTTATTCATATGGCTCTGTAGATGACCAACGTAGATTATCTATGTCGAAAATGATTGGAGGCCTGCTCGAGTTAGACGTGAATGATGTGACAAACAATGTAACATCGAAGTCACACCTCGTGGTCAGCACCTTACGTGAACAACCCCATTGACGCATCAAGGTACCATAGATGCTTTGAAGACTGTACAACACGGAGGACGCTAATAAAGAAATATATTAGTTAAAGTAGATACAGGCGAAAGTAAGATCACTACCGCATGGGCCAGTCCCTAGCATACGAGTAAATGATGCGCGTTGGTCGCCCCTGACCTTGACTAGGATCGATGATTTGCCCAATATTCAATGACCCAACTGCCGGATGATTTGGTTAGGGCTTAGCGACATTTCGCTGGCCCTACAGCTCATTAGTCTTTCGCAAAAAGAAGCGGGATTCGTACATAGAGATCTGCCCTTATGCATTGCTAGTTGACCCGGTGAGATCAAATTATTTTCACAAACGAGCTGTGCAGGTCTGCATTGGATGTCTTCCTTAATTGTAGAGCGTACGCTTAATAAGATCAAAGTTAGGAATTCACTCCATCTGGTTACACCAGACTGTACTATCAGTGGGTTTTTCAGTTGTCTGTGAAGTCGTTTCACTAGTACATTTGCTGCTGGATGGTATGCTGTTGTACTGATGTAATGGATTCCCAGAAGGCGTGTAAATTTATCGCAGAGGTTAGTTTAAAACTTTGAACCTCTATCGGGAGTAACTATATAAAATACACCAGTGGATTTCAACTGCCTGTAAGCATGCAGTGTCTAATAAATCAATCCCTTTGGTGAAGCAAATAGGATCGAGGTCGAAACGTGATAAAGTATCTGCCACAACACTTGACTTGTCTTTTACTAGAAGAATAACGATCGCTATTGTCACTAAAGGCGTAAGCCAAAGGTTAGTGATCAGTGAATATCACGGAACCTCAACCTTGCAGTAAGTGTTTAAAATGTTTAACTGCTAAGTTAATAGCCAATAATTCTCTGTCGAAAGTTCTGCATCCCGTCTGAGCTGGCTCTAGTTCTTTTGGAAAGAAAGTGAGTAGTTTGATTTCATTATTTACTCTCTGTTGTAGTACCGTACTTACTGCTGCCGAAGACGCTTCTGTACACAGAATAAGTGTTGCTTTCAGGTCAGAACTTAGGTAGGTTAGCATGATAGTAGAAGCAACTACTGTTTTAGCTGCAGAGAAAGCATCTTTCACTTCGGAGGATAATATGGACTTTCTGACTTTGCCTTTAAACGCCTCCGTTAAAGGTTATAAAATGGCTAAGCAGTTGGAATAAGCCGACGGTAAAAATTAAACATCTCCAAGGAACGTTGAAGTTTATTCAATGAATCTAGTTCTGGAAAAATTTTGATGGCTGCGATTTTTGTGTCTAGCGGTGTGATACCACGTTTGTCAATCGAGTGACCTATAAACTCTACGCTGTCGATTCCAAGAATGCATTTAGATGGATTAACAATTATACCAAATCCCTGAACTCTCTCGATTAGTTGATGTAGACGATCAGTATGTTCGTGGAACGAACTTCTTGTTATTAATACATCGTCAATATTTACGAAAACAAAACCCTAGGACTTTAGTAACCTCATCCATAAATCGTTGAAATGTCTGTGCAGCGTTCTTTAATCCAAATTGTATTCTCAGAAATTTAAATAAATCAAAACGAGTAACGATGGTTGTTATGCTATATTCGCGGTTGCTACTGGAGTCTGACGATACGCTCACACATGATCAAGTTCAGGAAAAAGGCGTTCACGTAACGTAAGCGGAAAATCGTTCAAATGGAGTAACGATCAGGTAACGCGAAGTTATTCGATGACAGAAAATCGCAGTGAGGTCACCAATTCTGGTTTCGCTTAGGTACCGTGTGAAGTGAGGATGCCCAGGGGCTACTTGACGGACGTATTATTCCGAGTTGCATCATGTGTTAAAATTAGGCTTTCACAACATTAAGCTTGTCCAGAGGTGATCGATGTGGACGTGGCGAAAGTGGTTGGCTTATTGTGGTGATTCTACGTACTACATAATGTTGGATCATGTTTTCCATATAGTCTGATTTCGTTATCTTGGAAAATTTAGATAAAATTTAGGCGAACATGTCGTTTAATGGGGTGTTGATTTTAGTACTACATATGTGACAGTTCGCCTGAATTCCCAGAAATTGAAGTTCTGTGCCAGAATCGATAAGTTTTCTTTTTTCACCATCAACTTATAAAATGTAGGACCTTGAGAAGTCTGCACCCGTTGTGGATAACGGAAATTGGCGATAATACCCAGATTAGACGACGTCTAATTTTTAATTCTAATCACAGGAGTTGTTCTCCAAATGTCATTATCTCAGTTTTATTGGTCGCTCGTGAGGAGTATTTTCCACTTTTAACAATAGGTCTCTTGACTAAGGTAACTGGAATAACACTGACTTCGGCTGCAGTGTCTACTAAGAATTTGTAGACGGAACTCTTGTCAAGGACGTGGAGGATGAGACTATGGGGCATTTCCAGTAACATTTGTCGTTACTACTGTCTGGTTATACGTTTCAGCAAGGAAAATTACTCCAAAAATTTTCAGAACGTAACATACTTCTTAGCTTTGTCACCATACTTTATATGGTACCAACAGATGTGGTCCTCATATTTGTTTGTTCTTGTGGTTCCTGTTATCACGAAATGCTGCCTGTCTTTTTTGGCAGTGTCATCAGGATTCTCAAACTACTATAAGTGGATGATCATGGGAACTGAACAGAAATACAGGGTCCCTTATATGTTTCAACGTTTTGGCGAAACTCATGTAGAGCATAGGACTGAAGCGTCAAAAAAATCCGCCGACTTCACGCTGGTAACTTTTTATGATAAACATTAGTATTATACCAACCTCGTACTTTCTAGGTGTCTCGAGTATTGTACACCTTAACGCCAGAAAATCACCAAAGCGGTAGCTTACGTGGTGCTTAAGGAGCATCCGTTCATTGTTATTCTGCTGCCGAAAAAGCACTTTGTCTTAACATTTCCTCCAGAACTATTTAAAATCGTTTCTAGTGTTTACTTAAGATTTAGCTAATAAACCCCAGTATTATGGACCCTAACATAAAGAAACCTTTCATCCCCTTAAAACTTGCTTTGAAAAAAAGCATGAATGAAGGCTTTAATTGTGCAACATGAGCACAAAAGATTAGTTGAAGAGTAAGATCTCATAATGGTGAATCACATTGGCCAGTATATCACTTATGCGTTTCAGTAGTTAACTGCACCTATAAGGATATTCATTCATGCTAATACGGAGAGCTTAAATAAAAATTTATGCAAGCGTTTTCATGGTTAGAACTGCTAAGTGCCGAAACAACTTACGGGAAAAAACAATAATGACAGTTCTAGTGAATCTCCTTAAAGAAGACTTGAAGATTACTTTAGTTCTGTATATACTGGTCCTACCTCATCACTTTTTCTGTATATCAGCCGACCTTTTACCTATTCGTGCTAGGAAGGAAAATAACAAGAATTGTGTTTCTCAGTATTTATAACTTCTCTTCTAAGTTCCAGACAAAAATAGCGCGGTACAAATAGTTCATTGATTTCGCTCATCTAAATTGAAGAGAGGGCGGAACTGGACATCATCACTGAGAAAATAGAGACATACAGCGACAGGTATCTTCATCTAGCAGTGCCATTTGAAACTAACAAGGTCGCTGTAAATGTTCAGTGACTAAAGATATGTTTGTTTTCAAGAATGATTAACAGAAATAGGTAACATGAACATTGTTAGGAACTTTACTATAGTACGAATTTATGATCGGTGGAAATGGCTTAATGCTCAGCGAGATCTATTGGTTCGAATAGTTCCAGATGGAATAGAAGACGCCCTCTAATAACGACCTTCTGTGTCTAGAAGCAGTGAATCACCGAGTCCTCCAATTTTGGATATGGTTAAACAAAAAAGCAAAAGGAAATGAGGTCGCCATAGGTATTTCTAGTTAGACAACACTTCATCCAGTAACACTTATAAATGAATCGTCCCCACCCAGTAAGATCAAAAGTCAGAAGCGAGGAGGTTCAAAGATATGTCTTGTAGACTATCAATATATCGAGAAACAACTGGTCTAAACTATTGCAGGAGAAGTTGAGCACGGCTTCCCCACTCGTGATCTGGAGCGGATGCATGTCCGAGCGCCTTCAGTTAGGTGAGTCCATTAAAACTAATATGGTCGGAGACTTGCAGAGCTATCGATTTTGGGGATTTATTTGCCTTTACATAAACATTAGCATATTGGTATGAAATACTATCGACGAGTTATAATAAATTAAGCTACTAAATACCGAGAGTATAAGCGTCTTAGAGGTGATCTATTAATGGCTTATAGTATTCCTAACACTTCTGGACATCCTCGTAAACACCTACTCAAGCTTAGTTCGAATACTAACCTAAGGGGTAACACCCAGAAACTGGAAACTCGACATAGCAAGACGGGATGTAGACGCAACTTCTACTCCTTAAGAGTTGTCAAAAGTTGGAATTCGCTGCCGGCCGAGCTAGTCCAAGCGACTTTTCAGGAGTCCTTCGAGAGGCAACTTGACCTATTCTTAAGGACCAAGGACAGTATCATACTATGATTTACCAATTTCTTTTCCTCTTTTATTGTTAACATACCTAGGTTCCTGCCTGGAGGATTTGGTGATCCCCTGCTACTAGACACGGAAGCCTGTTAAGCGAAAGCTTCTTCTATTCCGTCCACAACCATTTGAACCATTTGAACCATTTGATTTCGTTCTTGATTGGATTTTGGTTCAGTTGCAGCCAGATCATGCATGAAACTTCTAATATGTGTAGTTGATACTTGTAAGTTATCGTTATTCTTGATTGTTGCAGTGAGTTTGAGAAGACTGAAAAAGTCCGACCGCGCAGTATTTAAGTTGTGCCAAAGTAATGGCAACTGGCAGTTCGGGTGATAGCTATTATTGCCACTCTTGCGAGGCTGAGGTCGTCCCAAACTTGCAGGTTATTTTAAAATAACATTCGTTAATTATTGTTCAGGACTTTACATGCTCGGCATGTCACTCAGGTTTCATTGAAGTAATTAGCCCAGGGTAATTTACTTTCTGCTCCTTTCCTATTGTTTTCAGAAGTGGTTTATCATCGAATCAAACAGAAGTATATATCTGTCGTTCTAACCCTTATTTATGACAGTTAGATGCAATGCAGATGATAGGTCAGCTATTTGGAGGTTCTCTTAGCGACAACATTGTTCGCTATTTCGCAGCACCTAGGGATGACCTTAGTTCAACAGATGATGAGTCATTAGAAAGGGAAAATTTAGCCAGAAGGTCGCGACGATCAACAAGAAATTCAACTAATAGGTCGACACGAGAGCGTGTGTATACTCGTGTTCCGGATGGTCGTCATGCGTTTTCTACTCGCATCCAATTATCAAGTGTGGATCATCCATTCAGATTGCCATTCTTATCAAACTTTGCGTCAGCTGATGGAGATATGCAAAATTTTGTTTTTAATAGAGGTGAGTATGTTTCTCGAATATATATAAAGTAAATTAGTTTCATTGTTTATTATGCTATCATCATATTCGTCTAAGATTTTCTTAGGGCAACTAATGTATAAAGATTGAGATATTTATCTGACAGCAATTTTTTGGTAGTGGTTGCACTACTTTTAGTTCAATATAACGGTTGACTTTACTCAGGAAGTCACTAAAAGTGCTCGTTTATTCTGTGTTTCGATGAAAGTTGATCCACTCATCTCAACTTTTAGACATCTGGCTATCAATAGAACTGATTTTATACTCTGTACCTGTACTACACTATATTAGTATAGAGTGTTTACGGAAGCTATCAAATTTTGCAGTTTACACCGTAGACTGACCTCAGACAATAGATTATTGTCTAAGGCCGATCTGTGATGCAAACCACTGTTCTTTATGATTGTCAGTTAGGTATTAAATTAGTTATCAGCTAATGTATTTAATCTTGAGCTACTTTTTTCTGGCGTTACTACATGACTGCCTAAATATAGGTTCCGAACCTGTGACTTTCAGGCTGAAGTAGTGTACCCCAGCTACTAAACTGACTGTCTCCCGTTCAAACTTCTATGGTTAATTGAGAATACTTTCTAGTCATTTACTGTCTTTTTGTCGTGGCTACGGTGTTTTTTATAGTAGACGTCCAGTAGGGAAAAACTCAGTGGTTGCCAAACTAAACCAAAAGATTACTCTGTAAATTCATTTGTTACTGATTCGTATAAATTCAGCTTTTTTCTTTAGTGTATTAAAAGGTCAGATGTTGAAGAACAGATTACCTACTTAAAAAGCTTTAAGTGTTCAGACTGTCTTCTTGACAGCTGTAAACCACAATAGTCTGGTTATCACGTCCTCTTTTTGAGGTATTGATAGGTAATCATCTTTTAGATGCTCTTTTTGCTATCTTCCCTATTCATTTGACTCGCCTACCACCTGTTCATACTTCGAATAATGAAAGGCTAAGAGTGTGTTCATGAAAAAACTAGCTAGGAACTCACCCGATCATGAAAATCATCCCGAAAAAGCTTGGAGTGTTACCGATAGATCTGTCGAAAGAATTGTTATCTTTTAGTAGTTTTAGTCTGAAAGTTAAAAAAGGTCAATGCGTTTCGTAATCCTCCTAAATTGGTAGCTGCTCTGAAACCTATCTAGGGATTTCCATCAACTCTTAGGAAGAAAATGCAGCAGTACCTGTTGGGTTTACTTCAGAGGTCTACTAGGATGGTGGTCTATCTTTGATAGTTAAGCTGACTGGAAAAGTTTGGGAGTCAGATGTACTACCGTCTGCCTGATTTTAATTGATAATCGTCCCAGTTTATAAGGAAGGTTTAAAATCCTCCCGTAAAAAACAAGAATGGCTATGGCTAATATGTTGTCTAAAATATTAGTCTCAATAATCATCCGTCACTTATTTAGATCTCAAGAAGAGCAAACTCCAAAAACCGGGTTGGTTTCGTATGAATGTGGGTGTGTCAATCAGACATTATCATTGGTTAAGTTATGCAACACGTACCCATACGCATCCTTAATCGCTTTTCAGGAAACGAAAGTGACATTTGGATACTTTAACCGGGAGGTTTGCTTGGCAGTATCTGACTTTGAATCATCATTCGCGTCTCGGCGGTCTGCCGAGTGAGCGGTGATACTAAGTGTCGAGTATTAGGTACTTATACGAAAATAGTTGATGTAGTAACTATCGGCTGAAGTGATTGAGACAAAACAGAGTGTTATTAAACATCTCATGGTTATCTAATTTAACACAGCTTGAAGTAACGAAGTTGCTATATAACTAATAACATGTCTCCATATGCATAATTGGCCATTTTCGTTTTTTAAGCTATGCTTGATCAGTTTATCACTGTGATAATGAATGAGTTACAAGTGGGTCCACCACCTGCCCCAGAATCAGCCATTGCAGACTTACCTACAAATATTTTGACTGAAGAACAAGCATTAAAGTTAGGTATTTGTTCAATATGCTTTGACGATTTCAAAGAATCCGAATCAGTAATCAGACTACCATGTGCTCACACCTATCATCAAACTTGTGTTACAACATGGTTAAAACAGGTTAGTATTCTGTATATACTTTATTTTTTTGTAACAGTAAAAGAAAAACCTAATTTTTGATCTATTTTGAATATGTTTAACTCGGTTGGATCGATTCTGGTCACAGGTTTGAGCCTTGTTTTCTACCTAACAAATAGTGAGCAACAGGGTGAGACCTTTGACGTCTTACTCGTATAGTCTATGGTCTGGTGTGTAAATATACATGTGTTTTCTAATTTTAACTTTCATTTCAAGCTAAACATATAATTTGTAATCTAGTCAATTTAATTATAGCCTTTATTGTGGCTCTCTTTAATTGATCCCATGTAAATCATACTGCTTTTTACTTTCACTAAGTTGACCTTCCAAGTACGTTCTTGTGTAACGCTACTCATGAATCTTCACTGAAACTAAATCGATTGAACACCTACCTGGCTATTTATTATTGAATTTAGAGTCTTTAGATTATTGGTTCAAATTTGTTCTCTGCTATCACAATAGTTCAGTGAAAGTCTTGTTTTCCTTCACATAATATGTTCAACTACATGAATATGCTGCCAAGATTTATTTTATAGGCTTAGTGACAAATAAAGTCAATCTGAATTTCGTTTTCTGTATTGGTTACATGTACAATTTTAACGGGGCAGCCTTATCTATCTTGGTATTTACGTTCATTATTCATTTTGACATTGAATCGTATCTATGTCTAAATTATCACTTTATATATTTTTTCTCCGAATTGTGTTCATAAAAATACATGAATACAAAGTACTGACTTGTCTATTGAGAAACAACGATAGTTGATTGCCACTTCACTTTCACTTTTCTCAGCTTGATAATTTCCTTATTGTATTAATTCGAAGTGCGGCAACTTGGATCTAATGTCCTAAGTTCTGTGACAATAACGAAAGCAATTCTTTATATTCATTGTACTTGCTTGCAGATACCTCAACCATTTAGGTTGAAAAATTCCTACTGCACCTCGGTTAATGTCCTAAACCTTAATCAGTAGTCTGATGAGATCAGTGAAATGACCAATATGATTGAACTGATAGCTTACCCGCTCAATCTACCCTAGAATTATAATCGATCATGACTGGGGAAATAACTCAATCGATTATGAAGGAATTCAAACTGTTCGGTTACGAAATATGAAACTAAGGTTGCGCATTCGAGTAATTACCAAAAATAATGGCTACTTATGGGTAAAAATGTGACGGAAAAACAACCAATCATCTCAAATCATACCGTTATTTCTCAACAAAATAATGAATTCATGGAATACATTTATCTAACAAAATTGTTTTTGTTCTCTTGTAATGTTGAGACTGTATTTATAGAAGTTTGTTGCTAATAACTTATTATACTACGGGATTCGGTTGTGGATAGAAGAAAAGGAATACATGTTACGAGTGACTGTTTATTTCACAAATCTACTCACCGACCAATGAACTACAATCAAGGCCTTAACGCTTACTGGTCCCGAAACCCTCCCTATTCCGGTAGCCAATCAATGTATGCAGATTAAGTCTCTGTTGTACTTAGTTCAGTTAATAACTCAAAACTCATACTACAATATACTTGAAATGACTGACGTCACAGCACACCAAATAAGAAAGCATACTTAAGACACAATCATACCATAAATGGCAGCGGGTGGACCGGATAGTGTAAAGTTAATTAGCAATAACTAAGGTATAGTAGGACGTTTAGCGACAGTTAATAGGTCCGCTAAAGGCATAGAATAAGGGGAATATAGAAATGCAGCAATAAATTTATCTACTGATTATACAGCAAATTATAGATGATAATCATAAGCCGATAGTTCCAACCTCTTCAATATTTGTCTCATAACAAGATACATTTGATAGTCAAGAGTATCCTCATGACATCATTGGATATATCATCTGTATTGATTAATGCTCCTTCAGTACAAACAGTCGATTTTATTTGCAGTGAACTTATAAGGAGATGTATAGAAACTGTAATTTTTGTTTTTGTAATAAAACAGCTGATACTCAGGTTCATGATGAATGCCAACTTCTAATCCAACAATGAGTACGTACTAATGACAGTTAGATCATGCAGTCGTGTGATCAATAGTAGATCTTTTTTCAGTCATTTATTATTGTCAAGCTGGAGAATAGACCGCTCAAAAACTTAAGCAATCAACTAAAATCTTCTTGTTCCTCACATAAATAATAATTATTATCAATCACTTTATTCGATATTATATTTTTGGTAGAATATAGAATTCTCAGCACAAAGTATTTCAACAAGTTTCCTTTCCTTATTTCTTCATCTATCCTAACGATAAATATTGAGTTATCACCAGTTAGATGATGTTAGCAGTTCAGGAATCGAAATCTGAACAATGATCATTCTTTTCAATGCGTACTGACATCCAACACAATGTCTCTGATTGTAGTTTTTTGTAAGTTGTACGGTGAAAGTTTGTAAACTTCCCATAAACGCATCTAAATAGGTTATGCGATTAACAGCCATAATGATGTGTTAAAACAAACAAAATATAGGTAACTTGTTGAGATATGTTGATGTCAGAGACAGGTAGCCCAGACATTCAAGCAGGTCGCCAAAGTACTTTCATGGTACTGAAAAAAAATAATTTGCTTAACATTTCTAAAAACATTCAACTACATTTGTTGTAGAAAAAGAACCGAGGTAATAGCATCTCACTTTTTTATGCAATACTAACAAGATTAGATGAACTTTTAAGAATGGTTGTTTGCGTATAGAATAATCGATTGAACAATACATTCTGTTCGATATTTTTTATTATTTAAGTACAAGGGTATCCTCACTCAATGTGCTATAGTAACTTGTTCTTATTGATACCGTCAAAGATTATTTAAGTAACATCTGTAGCCATTCTTAATAAGTTTGGATATTATCTCGAATTCGTCCGCACCTAAACTATATAACAATGATGTGGAAGATGTTACTTTTGTTAAAGTCACAGTTCAAAACGTTGAGGAAAACTGTTAACAACCATCAATCAACCACTAATAAAAAATGTCTAAGTTTGCTGTATACACGTGTGTGTATCATTTTTGGTTGTGAAGCCAGTTATACAGAAAACAAAATTCAGCAAGTTCAACATTGTATCGCTGAACATTATCTGACATGGGTGAAAAGAAAAACAAGGTCGAACAAAGGTTCAATTTTCGCTCACTTGGTTGACAGCATCATGCTGATTCAAATACAGCTCTTCGTGTTATTCACCATATTCCATCATATTTACCGCATGATTTACGGTTCTTTGCATACTGATTTCATTCACTAACTTTTGTGTTCAAAAAATATTTGTACAATCCTCCCTAATTTGGCGATCGACAAAAGCCATAACAAAGCAGGTTGAAAAGAAACTTGGATTCCCTCCACTTTTCTCAGTTGTTCTAAATTCCACTTTTTATTAAGACATAATCTTTAATTCTTACATATAAGCATTACTAAACTAATTTGTTATCAAGATATTTTTGCTAATATTCTTATCAGGTGTTATGTAACCCGTTGACCATTGAACTGCATGTTTCCAATTTCTACAAGTAAATACTTTGATCATTATGGTTGTTTTACCCTGTTCCTTCCAATTTCTTAGTCATTCGATGTTTTCATAATCACGAGTGAAACTTATTATAAGTCATATATATTAGAGACTAATGGAAAGAAATTATTTCCCCCCCTATTCATCACATTACTTTTGTTGCAAAACAATAACAAAAAATTCGTACTTTTCAATTTCCGACTTTTTAGCATGGAACTTGTCCAGTTTGTCGAAAGGATTTATCCGGACGTGATACTTCACGATATGAAGATCCACCTCCAAACTTAACAGGAAATAGTAATGGTTCAAGCTCTTCCACTTCCTAGTCTTCATTATTTTTTCGATTTTTCTAAAAATAAATATAAAACCGCAAATTATATTCATTAAATTTGTCTATTTTCACACAAACACTTCAAAAACAATCCAGCTAATATATATAGTTATCGAAATGTGTCAGCGAGATGCTGTATAGTTTCATCATTTTCTCTCTTTTTCTCTCTCTTCCCATTGTGTAGCATATTTTTTCCTTGTGTATGTATGATAAACCCAACCAGCCCTGTGTTAATTTGTGTTTGGTAATTTTTCCCTGTTTCTTCTGAAATCCAACTTTTCTATCAAGATTTTTTTACCAAGATTGTTACATTATCTTACCCAATTAATTTCACACTGACTATTAAATGCATCCATCTTACTTTGTTTATCACTATTATTATTGTTCTTGTATTAACTAGCTTCGTGATAAGACTACTACTTGCTTTCTAATCCCCACTCCACCTTTTTGCAGAAATAAAGTGAATACTCAGAAGAGGGTTTTTCATACTTCTCTACTTGTATTGTAGTAATTGTCAATTAATTATCAATCAATAAAAATAAAATGACGAGACGATATTTCCTTTGGTTCAGTCTAATCGTTTATTTCGTCCGTTATTCAAATTCTCGCTTCATTATTTTATCTCATTATCAATTGCTATTCCGTATAGATATACAGATAAGTATTATTGAAATTTCAGTTTAGTACCTATGTCATATGAAGTAAACTTGAGTATATATAAAACTAATTTCCTTATTATATGTTTTGTTGACAATTTTAATATCTTTTTTACTTTATCTAAGATTTATTTCGATTCCTCGCTTATCTAAACAATCCGTAAAGGGACTTAACACTTATTTGATGACCTTGTCCCAGTATAAATCAATCTGACTGGACATGTCGATAATTAAGGTTGACTTTCAATTTCAGTCCTCATTATTGTATTAGCGAAATCCACTAACCAGTATTGTTTCCTCACCAATTAGCTTTAATGTTACTATATTTGTTCTCTATTTCCATTAAACGGACAAAATCCAGTTTAACAATGAATGTGTAATTTATGTCTTTAATAGATTTGTCGTAACACGTGAACTTCAGTTACATTCCATTCTACTGTTTGTTGGTTTTCAAATATGTCAAGTGCACTGTTCTTTGGTACAACACAATGATCAGTTTACGTTCCTTTACATAACATTTAAAGAAATGAATAGTTGGTCGATCATACTATTCTTTCTGAATTATTGGAAAACACAACTCCTACTTATACGCAGGTTGGAATTGGTATAAAGACTAACCCTTAAAATTGGGAACTATTGTAGTACCTCATGTCAGTGTTGATCAACATTAGTACTTTCTAATCAATGGCATAGTCTTTGAATTCTTATACACTTGTTATTGCTAAGAGAATAGCCACATCGCGAGTGCAAAACTTAACATATAAATTAAAACTGACAATTACTACTAAATACTAGTTAGCAACATGATCTACTTCTTGTGATTCCCTTTGAGTAGTAATAGTAGTAGGTGTTACGGCTAATTATATTCAAGTTGTTTGTTTTTGCCTTTGCATACTAAAATTTTTTTACATATTGTCTTTAGCATATAACGAGAGTTATGTAGTATTGCATTCATGAGTTTTGGTTCCTCTTTTCAGGAATAATTTCACGTGTTACTTAAGTGATGGCTTTTTAAATTATATAGTGAGAACAATAAATTTATTTAACTGATGAGCAACTGAGTATATTCGACAAGCTACTGTTTTATTGAAACAAAGCAAGAAGGAAAATATTAGCTGAATACTTTTAATACGTTGTAATTCATTGTTTTCTCTTCATATACATATAAGCTAATGAGTTTGGTTAGTTCAGGTTAGCATTGCCTAATAAATGAGATGTTAATCAATCATTATGGTCTAACTATACTGGAGAGGTATACCAGTTATTTCATTGAAAACGCTTGGACCAGATTGTCGGTCGAAACGTTGGATTTACTTCAAGTACATTCTTTCTCTTCACAATTATTAGTTATTTTGTACCCTGAGGATTTTAAAATTACTTGGGCATATTAATTTTATTTATGAAGTTCTGCGGAGCGTGATTCTGAATATTTTCCATCGGTTAATCACATGTAGGTAAAACAGTCTTTTTGTATATATTGTAAACGAACGTTTCCTGTTATAGCATATCACTGGGTGATGATCATTGTCATATGTGTCCAGTCCTTATTAGTGCAGATCGAATGCTATCGACCAGGTTGCAATGTGACCATCAGTCTAGGTGATTCGACGTTGCGTGCACTATGTTGAAATTAGATGGTTGTTTGAAGGGAGCACCAGTTCCCACAAGATTACGGGTACACCCTGCTGACGAGTGCCAAGTGGCATGAAACCTGGGTCAATGGTTTCCTGTCGACTATCTCCACTATCTAAACTCCTTTTGAGAGTACTGCACATTCACAATTTCACCAGGAGTCGGACGTTGGACCTTTAGACCACTGAGCTAATACCCAGTCAAACATCTTCCATTATCTTCAGTGAGTAACCACCTTATATCTGACAGACTCCACTGATTAACGGCTTCTCACTGTAAATTCGCAAATTACCTCTTAAAATTAGTCATTAGTGACCATATGATAAGCTTCACATAGCGCAAATAAACCATAAAAAACCGGATTATACTAAAGTAATAATAATTCACCAGTATTATTATTTTAAAGTTAAATCTACTAATCACTATGAGCTGATTAGCTATGTGATCAACCTATAAGTTATGTAAGTATTGATTCACATATATTCTTTTAACCAGTCAAGTTACAATCTAAAAATAGTAGCGATATATTAATAAGATTTGTGAAACTAACAATAATCAATCAATAAAAATAAATCTATCAAATTAACAAAAACTTTTCTTGGAAAGAAAGGATTATTTCCGAATTAAAGTCAAACTCGACAACGTACGGTATAGTTTCTATGTATAATTAGTTTATTTATAACAATTACAAGTGCATAAAAGATAATCTCATTTTTTCGACTTATAATTTGATAGTAGTCTATATAAACCTTTGTGGTATTATGGAAGCAATTTTTATAGAAAATTCACATAAAGTAGCGAATTACCGAGCGAAAGAATGCTTGTTTAGTCGATAGAAGTGCTCCCAAATGTCCTGGTACAGTCGGGAGTGGGGAGAGTTAGCTCTCCCTCTCGAAATGTTGTCACATGACCATATGCATGCAACCACTGACAGGGAAGTCCTACTCACATCCTTCACGCGGCATCACTGTTGTTTACGAAAGTGATAGGACGGTAAGTGAATATTTATCAAACCTTAACAAGTTTTTAAATCATGTAAAAGAAGAATATCCACTGTAATTCATTACTTTCTTAAAATATATTTTTACTTTTTACTGTCTTCTGATTGACTAATAATTGAAATTGCTCAAACGCTTCTGATTGGCTCGTCCCTAAATTAGAGTCCCGCCGTCCCATCTGTTGTAACCTCTCTAAAATCCGCTGTGAACCGACCGTATGTTAGCATCGCGTATTGAGCTCGGATCCATGACCTTGAAATTGCCCAAACGCTTCTGATTGGCTCGTCCCTAAATTAGAGTCTCGCTACTTTGCACTGTAGTTCGTCGTATGAATTCCGGATGATGTTGACGAAGTTTGTATATAGTGGTGAATTCCATTCGGTTGATTGCTAAATGATTATCTTTGGTGTCCCGACTTGGACTTACGGAATCCAGCCTGTGTGTGAAGCATTTACTTCTTCATGACCGGAGTACAACAGCAACTCTCTTGAATCTAATCTTTCCCGCCTCACTTAGATCCAATTGGTCTCACTTATTTCGAGAACCGCCAATTTGTATCTCCTCATCTGCGCACCTATTTGATTGGTCCTCTCGGTCTACTACATTGTCCGGATATTCCATGTACTTATATAAATTGTTGCTCTGGTTGTTAGAAGGGGCATTGGCCTCGTAACAATTGAAGAATCACGGCTTTCAGTGTTTGGCGTCATAATTCTTCTGAACGAAGATTTTTCAACTCCCAGGACGGTTTAAATGGTATTTCCTGGTAAGTGTTTTTAGTAAAGTTTTTTCCTGTGTGATAAGGTTGCTGACCCTATTTCCAACCTTCCTCCTTTACTCCGGGCTTGGGATCGGCAGTAACCGTAGAAGAGCTACAGGCGTAGTTATGCCAAACACAAAGCCATATAAATAACTCAGTGTTATTTTGTCCTCAGTCGAGGGCCCCTTATGGTGTTGGGTGGTTCAAGGCATTTGGCAGTAATCCCTCTTTGACTTAGGTTTCGTGTTAGTTGCACGTATCAACAAAGCGTGGCTGCACTGATGAGAGAACTTGCTCTTCGGTCGATTCGAATCTGGGTCAGCTGTTTACACATCTGGGAAAGTACCATTGAACTGTTAAGGCTACGACTTACCTATTAGGCTGAGATATTTGCACTGGTTGATCAGTGAGCACACCTTTTGTATAACATTTGATTATATGTGAATTCATTGTAACATATTTTACTAAATTTAGTGTGGTCCTTTTTATGTGTATCGATTTAATAGGAGATGCACTTACATTTTAATTCTACATGATCTTTTATTTATATCGATTTTTTTATCACTTCCGTTAACCAACGATGATATATATGAATCGGCATATAAACGAATGACTTTGTTGGTAAGGTCTAACAAGAGAAAATCTTTGAGTTTGAATAAAACAAATCGCCTTCATTTACTACAATCATTCCTCCCGGTGTCAACTTTCATTTCCATTCATATCACAGTTCTGACATCAAATTCTAGCTCATTTACATGACAGTTACGTTTGCAATCAGATCAAGTACTATTTCCAAGTTTATAGTTTAATTTGGAACAGTTTTAGTTTAATATGACAGGGTAAGAATTAAGTCGTTGGGTTTTAATGCATTTGATAGTAAACGACCTATACAAATGACATTCTCCAATTGCTCATCATATTTAATCATATTATTTCCGTGTTAATAGTTTGTCTGTAAACATGTCATTTTATTAACCAAAAAGAAACTTATTTTCTGAAAGACGGTTATTTTGTCTTTTATGTCTTTTCAGTTTGACGCTAACGTTAATAATTCAGTTTCGTAGGTAGTTATCAGTCGATCACATAGTTTCATTACATTTATCAATCGCGGAGCGTTTTATTCATTCATGCTAACAATTATAAAACCTTGTTCACTTATTAAATCAGTTCATAAGCGTGAACATAAAAATCGATTGTTAAAATATTTACATTAGATAAATGGAAATCATTGTCCATCTAGTTGATTTAATCACAGATTGAACTTATCAGGGTACTTTTTATCAGAAGGGGTTTTGTGGAGATTTTAATAATTTCAATAGTTGAAATCATTAGTCAATTGAAGCTAGACCATCATGGAAAAGCTGGAAGTACTGGACGGCCATTTCGTCCTGCTATGGGACGCCTCAGCAGCGTGCATCCACGATCCTCCCCCGTGAGATTCGAACCCAGGACCTATCAGTCTCGCACGCGAGCGCTTAACCAATGGACCATCGAGTACTTTTTAATGGATCAGAACCTGAAAATAACTCATAAATCAATATAAAATACGGTTAAAAAAGAATGCTTCATACATGAAAATCTCAGCTCATGGAACAGTACAGTGTTTCCAAGTAATGATACAATGAAAGCCCTCAAATGCCCTGGTAGGCCCGAGAGTGGGGAGAGTCCGCTCTCCCTCTCCAAATGCTCTCACATGGCCAGGGAAGTCCTACTCACTGCATTCTCGTGGCGAGGGTGTTGTTTACGAAATTGAGAGGACAAAAAGCGAATGTCCGGCGCTTTAACCGGGTTGGTGGACATGGAGAGTCCACCTAGGAGAGTTGGAAAACCCTGAATCAAAACCAATGGCGCACTTGGGCTCCAGGATCCTGAAGGAACGAATGGCGTGTGAAATAATCGTTGGGACTGCATCTGCTTACGTTGCTCCAGTACCTTGTGGATCAGACCTTCAAGTCGAAGGTTCGGGGTGTGGCCTTTTAAGAAAACCACCTGCTTCGGTTTGAGCACCCGTACAGTATCACAGCCCTCACACATATCAAATGAGATTTGTGTGGCGCATATCTATTTGGTGCCCTCTTGTACTAATATCTATGTGTTAAAATAAATATAAAACAAATAAATAGATACAATGAAGAGTATTGAATTTCGTGCCTTATTAAATTCAGTCAAGACACTGCAGCCTGAAATCCCAAAATATTATTTGACGTAGATTCTAAACTCTTTAAATGCGGTTTCTCAAAATATTGTTGACTTTGTAGAATCTTTAACTAATCAAGTCTAAAAATACACGAAATAGCCGCATGAGAACCATGATGGTATTACTTTTAGTAAAAAGGCTACTTAGTTGCTTACATCGTTGTAAATCAAATTATGTAGCGAAATTTCACCTTAAAGAGTGGAACGGCATCTAATGACATCATTCCTTTTGAGGTTATACTGACGAATAATTGTAAAATAGCAAACTCAACTAAATTACAGGTGTTATGTTTATTGAGCATTTCAGCCATCCAGTAAACAGTTACACGTTATGGTGGAATTATTCATGGGATAAAAAAGGATATCCTTCTTATTTTTTCTTGAGAGATTGTTTGGTTTTGGTGTAACAGATCCTGATGGTCTAAGGTATTTGAGAAGACCACAAGTGATGATTGATTTGTTGTTTCTTGTGCAATACTCTTTAATACTTGATTTTTCCGGATATTTTATGATGTAACTCATTATTATTTTTCAGCATCTTGTAATTCGCCATAAATACAACTACTCAACTTCAGTACATGATATCATCGAAGAAACATTTTCTTCGTTTAGCGGAAATAAAAAGAAGTGAATATAAAGTGGACTCATCATTTTTATCGTCAAGAGTACCGTAAAGTAATTAGAACAAACTAAATATTTAAACTAATTATCATCAGAGATTAAGTTATTTTGAACATCATGTTCATTATAGACTGAAGTCATTTGGTAATCTGTTAAAAATGACTGAACGCAAAGTTCTAGATCAGACCACCTCAATATTTCATATCTGCGACATCCTGTGAGATAAAACTCAAGATTGAATGATCTTTTACAAATAGGATACATCTTTGGCTAGCCAAGTCATCTAATTATCCAAGTTTTGAACTCAATCTTTTAGTCATATAACATGATTTTGATGTAATATCACTAATAAGCTAATGCACCTTTAATGAAGTGAACTACCCTTCAGATCATGGTGTCATACAAAAAAATAAAATTAATACGTTCGAACGCTCATCGCTTATGAGAAATTCAGTATTACTAAGTTAGTCACATAGAGATGTTTGTTTACATGAAGAACTGTAGTGACTTGCTGAATAACTATCATAAACCATAGTCCACCAAACAGTTGTTTTGTTATTATTTGAGATTCATTTGCATTGTGTATTTAGTCAAAAGCTGTGATTTAGAACCATATATCGTAAATTGATTAGATTTAAAAATTTTACCTATTAGGTTCCTAAACATCAACTTCATTATTAAGTATTCGTCAGTAATATTAAGTACGTTTGGATTCAATCCTATGTCAGATAATGTGTGCAGCTTACTAAAAACTCAAATTAAATGAATCAGCTGTTAAGTGTTCACTGGTTTACAATGGTCCTTCAGTTGATATCAGTCAATGATTATAAATGTCTTCAAATTAAAAGACTAATATGATGGGGATCTTTAAACGATTACCGATGTGTTAGGATAAGTTTCAAATCATTTCTGTCTTTTAGTTATGAAAGAACACAAGTAAATTATGTAAAAAAAAAATATCCGTAAAACCCAAACTTGTTTGATTACATACTACACAGAGAGAGAAAAAAGTGTCCCAACTTATTTCTGGTATTAATAGATCATTTCTAATCTGATAAAAGTTTCGATAACCCTAAGTGATTACTTTGGAAATTAGACAGTTTTTTTTTAAAATATTCATCAAAGTTATTAGATTAGAATCTTGAGTAGTTACACTCATTAATTGTTGCTTTGATGATTATCAGCTGACTTCATTTCAAAATGCATATTTTATATGCTATATATATCAACATTTATCATTAAATAAATAATCTTTAATGTAATGATTATTGAGTATTTTAAGTTATGAACTATTCAGTTGTATACATTCACTCATTACATCACTTACTTTAACTGTAATGTGTACTCTATCTAATGTTCATTGAAATGGTTTAACTTTAATTGTGTATAATATTTGCATAAATCAATAATGATTACAGTTACAATTGCTTCTGTCATCCTTTTATTTAATAATAACCTTTGATGAAAACAATAATCAGTTAGGTAAGAGTTTGTCATGAATTAAAAAGTTACATCAGTTACAGTTACAATGTAGGACCAGGCACATATATGCATCAGTCCAAGTTGCTATACCTCATTAGCACAACAAGATGAACAAGGAATTCATAGTAGTTAATTCAATGGTGGTAATATATAAAAGAAAGATTGCATATAAGGATATAATGCGGGAAGAAAGAATTAGTTCGTAGAAAGAAAGATATGAAGCGATTTTAATCTCATAGTTTAAAGGAAGATGAAGTGTATACACCTGTACGTATGTGGTCGATTATGAGTCATGTCACGCACTCTCCAACCATTGGTTACAATAGTCACATGGACCCCGACCAAGTAGTCTGCATCTACTAACATGGCTAAGACTAGAAATTAGTAACTTCAAGCACTGATGCCACGTTTTGGTTTGACCGCCTCTAACATTCTTCCAACCATCTCCAACACTAGTCACCATTACGCATACACCTACAATGAGAATATACAATAGAAATTTTGGATTCAAATCTTAGAAATCGGGAAACTAACGACATGGTCAATAATTAAAAAAAAACATAACCCTCTTACATTTTTAATCTTTCAAACCTTATCAATAAACAATTTTTTTCATTGATTTATCATTGGTTGTTCCTTATTAATTGATGTTTGAATACAATCAATAATTCAAGGCATTTTTGTTCACATGAGTATATAATATCAATCAATAATTGATTTTGTCAAATAAAAGCAAACTCACGTGACTTATAATTTCAGGGCCATAAATTACGGTAATCAGGTTAGTTTACTACTGATAAAGACAATTTATAAGAGTTTGTAAGTGTCATTACCAAGGTTTGATTTGATAATTTCGAATAAATTGAGCATTGGGTTGATTGTTATAAATAAATAAATAATATATTTGTAATATCCCAATGAGTAGAAAATTAGATTTTCTGACGTTTCGTGACTTAGTGTAAGTCACTTCTTCAGAGAATAAATAACCAAATTAAAATTAATCCAAGTTTAAATAGTACAACGGAACAATGCAAGAATAATATTTGATCAATCAAAAAACTGGTCTGAACAAGTTGATGTCATGTCATTTCTGTCAAGGTGATTCATAAGTGATATGTATGTAAATTTGTGTATATGTATATGTGCATTGTTTAAGAATGAAAACTTGTGTGACCTTTATGGTAAGAAAGGATAGAGTTTAAATTTGTAATATGATAGTGTGAAATTGTAAATACGATCAGACTGAATGGTTAGGATAAATAGTCGAAGTAGGATGTATGGTAAGGCCTTCTTTTCTATTGAGAGAAGTAGGATTAAGCATTGTATGGAACGCCTCAGCTACCCTCCTTTCTTTGTAATTAGAAAAGCCTTTTTGCAATATTTTGATATTTTTAAAATCGATTTGGTTGTTGTTGAAAATGGCATGAACTGCTATTGCCGATTTAATTTGAAGTTGGTTCAATTCTACAGGATTGTTAGGAGGTTTCTTTGTGTACCTAATATGTTCTTTGGCTCTAGTCATGATTTCGCGGGATGACTCTCCAATATAATAGGCATCACAATCGATACAACCTAATTTGTAGATGCAGTTCTGTGTGGACATGAAAGGGGTTTTTTCTTTCAGGCGAACTAAAGTATTACGTAATGTGTTCGTTGTTTTGTAATACACTTTAATTCTGTGATGTTTTAAGATTCTTTGAAGTTCTTCTGTTGTGCCATGACGGTATGGTAGAACTACAGTACCAATCCATGGCATTTCATTCGAATCATTATTATAATGTAATAAACTGTTTTGTTTTAATATGCTTCTAATAATCTTCATAGGAAAATTATTAAATTGTAAGATACTAATTATATTCATTTGTTCTTTTTGTTTGTCTTCCTCTGATGTGATGATCTTGTTAGCTCTTCTAAAAAGATTTAAGGCTAGCGAGATCTTAGCACTGAAAGGATGTGCTGAATGGAAGTTAATATAACGATTTGAATGCGTCGGTTTTCGGTAAATGGATATGTTTAGACTTCCATTTGGATTTCTTTTTACTAAGCAATTCAAGAATGGTAGCTCACCATGTACATTTTCATTCGTGAATTTGATGTGCGATGAAAGTGTATTTCTTCATTTTGAAAAAGATCTTAGATGAGTCTTTTTTATAACAACAAATGTATCGTCTACATATCTAAGCCGAATTCGTGGTATAATATTGTGGGCGAAGATATTTGATTCTATGTATGCCATAAAAAGGTTGGCTACAATCGGGGACACGGGGTATCCCATCGCTACACCGTTTGTTTGAATAACATACCGTTAAAAGTAAATAGCGTTGAATTTAAGCACAGTTTTAAGGATTTCATGACTAGACTGATGCTCAACGGACATCTGTCAGGAAGAGCATTGTCGTTCTCAAGTAAACCACTAATGAATTCTAAGCATTTATCAATGGGAACACTTGTGTATAAAGAAACGACATCAAAGCTTACCATGATTTCATTCTTCTCGATGATTAATCCGGATAATTTTGATTTAAAGTCATATGTGTCTTTAATTATATTATGTAAGTTGAGTTGTAGTGGTTTTAATATATTGCTTAAATATTTCGATTATGCATATGTTGGGGTGTTTGTGAAGTCTACTATCGGTTTTAAAGGAATATCTGGTTTAAGAATTTTTGGTAAGCCATAAAACCATGAATCAGAAATAACCCCAGTTAGACAATCAAAGTGAAGTTCATGGATGGCACCAATAACTGAATCGGTATATGTTACTTGTAGTTCAGCAGAAGTAAGGTTTTTTGGAGGACAGACACATCTTCTAAATAAGGGCTTCCAAGATATGTATGTGAGACTCCTCAAATTGTTTATCTTGACGTTCCGTGTCGGCTCCTAATTATTCAAAAGAAATGTTCATTGTAGTCTTGTACGTCACCACTAATAAGTCTTCTAACTGAACGATAGAATTGAATTTCCAGACCCTTCTAATGACCCTGGGTTACATCTATGAGGCAATTTGAGCACAAGAGAAAAGTTGCGAAGTGTGAAAAGAACTCCCGTAAAACGTGCTATCGGAGTTTATTTGAAGGTAGGAGAGGTCTAAAAACAACAGCATACAATCCAGAGTCAGTGAGTATTTGAGGAGGAAGAACACAAAGGGTCAGCAACAATATATACATCTCAAAAATCGAACAACGCAGTTATGCTACCAAAAAGAGAAAGCTTACTTACAAAATAGTCTCACATCATTTTGCGTATCCAGTTTACTCAAGGTTTTTTCTTCTGCTTTCAGCACATTTATCTTTTTCTGCCCTGCAATAAAAAAACGGATTCACATTGATAACATTACACGTAAACATTTTTAGTACTATTACAAGCTTTAGGGTTGGTTGGTATTTATAGTATTCCAGACGGCCTTATGCTACTGTAAGATTCTGGAAACATAGTACCAGCGCAGACAATTGTCCAATCAGAAAAATAACTCATGACTCTTCACTTTCTAGATGTTTATAAGGAACTTCTGTTCAACACTGACTGGATAAAATGTTTCCCAGCCTTTACAGTGTCCCTTTAGAATGTTCCCTGGAATACTTTAAACCTCCCTAATGACCATCATATAACTTCCGTTGTTGTTGGATAGGCAAATATGTTTATTTGATAAGGATTTGATTTATAATTTTGACTTTTTTAAAAACACTTTGACAGGCGCTATAATCATAGAATGAACTTCATCACTTTATATAGCATTAGAACTAAGAAAATAAACTGATATTCATCATTTTTCCAGTTTATAAAGGTTAAAGACTAAACTACTTATTTAATTGTGTCAGTAGGTAAACTATCATGGAATATTTATATCTGTTTGTATAAAGTAAACCTTTCATAGTATTCGGTTATTTAATTTGTAAAATTATGTTCAGTTTGAAAATCAATTCAAGGAGCTGATTGAAATCAATGTAACAACTTGATAACTAACTGTCTCATTTTGATTTGGAATAGTTTGTTAGTCATAAGTAATAGATTATTTTTGATATGTAGGCAAAGGAAATAATGATTGATTGTTTGATTAGCCGGACATGTAGATAACCTGACAGGCATTAGATGATTTATATATTTTCTTAAATTGATTATTCATCGTTGAACAATTAGTTGAATGGAGTTCGTCACTAAACATCAACTTCCCTGATTATGAGAAGGTATTCGACAGTATGGATAAGAGAATATTATTATTAAGAAAAGGGATTGACTGGCATTTCAATCCTCCGGCTGCTAGTCATTGGAGAGGAGTATGGGAGTTCATGATTCTTTCTGTACATAGGGTATTGGGTGCTCTTGTAAAGGAACAATCTTTAACAGATGAATGCTTTGGAACTTTCATGATAGAGGCTGAGCGTATAATTAACAATAGACATTTGGTTCCCATTACAGACGACTTGAATGATCTCAATGCAATAACACCAGCAAAACTATAACTATCGAGCGAGAACGTTGCAGAATTTACTAATACTCTATCTTATGACAGGTATTCTAAGAGATGGAAGCAAGCAAATTACTTGGCACAAGTATTTTGGGAATGTTGGTCTAAGGAATATGTTTCGCTGTTGCAGCGTAGATACAAGTGGACCCAACTAGAGAGGAACATACGGAAGGGTGACTTAGTAATGATATGTTCTGACTTCTCCGAGAGAAACAAGTGGCCCTTATG